ATGGTGCGTAGTAGTTCGGCTCCGCCCTTGGCAGTTGATATTTCCACACGGACACTGTTAACCATACCGGATCTCTACATGAGTCTGGCGCATATACAGACTCTCACGCGGCGGTACTCAGGTTATACTTGGACGAGTTTGAATCGCTCTTCTTGCATGTACCGTCCTTGGAATTATGGAGACCCTGAACAGGATTTGCATTAATACATGCATCCTGAAGTGTTCTAGCTCCCGCGTTGCTCGCTTCCGCAGCATGAACGCCGCGTGAAAGGAATGGATTGAAGTGTCCAGGGTTATCGCCGCTTTCTGACCGCACCCTTCCTTTAGCCATCCTAGATATAAGGCCTACAGTGTTTCTTGTCTTCCCCCAAGAGCTCATCCCTCTCTTTCAAACCACACGGTGAGTCGAAGACCACAACTTCCCCTTCGATATGAGTTGCTGAAACAATCGTGGTTTAGATCATGCAGCTCGCTCTCGTGCTCGCCGCCGTCTCCTTTGCCTCCTCCGCCCTCGCGCTTCCCGTCGCTCCTCTTGTCGTGAGTTACTCACAGCGTCGCCGAGCCCGCATCTTCTAATCTTTTCTATTCAAGGTATACGGCAGCACTGGCGTCTCGCCGGCTGGAGCTGCCGTGTATGCTGAGGATACTGGCAAATTGACGCGTCGTCAGGTCGATGCTGGTGGACTCGTAACCGGAACAGTCGATGGCGTGGTTGGATCCCTCCTCGGTGGCAACGACCGAAAGCGTCGTCAGCTCGATGGGCTTGAAGCCGAACCCCTCACAGGCCTGCCCAACACGGGACCTTTGCCTGGAGGCGTCGAAGGCGCTGGTGAGGTCCTTGGTGGGTTGCAAGCCCGGCAGTTGGATGGATTACTCGGAGTCCTAGGGCCCTTGCTCGGTGGTCTCCTAGGGGGCCAGCAAGGCGGCGTGGGAGAGGTACTATCCGCGGAGTAGAGAGATAGTAAACTTGATGAGCAACCTATACTTGCACGAGCTTACGCGCAAGTCTCCTCTCGCTTAAGCTGATGTATCATTTCACCTATTCCCGTTGTCACTCCTTCCACTCGCAGTCATCGTAGTCTTATGTTTTGAACAGCATATAAACACTCTCCTTAGGACTTTTGAATCTTGCGAATCCAAGCTGTCTACCGTAACGCGTTTCGTGTTTAGTATCAAGTCCACCGATGCGCGCTCTCAACATCTCCGAGAAGTTGTATGCTCCCATCATCGGCATGACTCGAAGTGCGTAGGGTCGCGTAACCGTTCAGTGATCTGTCCAGAGATATTTACTCTATAGGCGACACGGCTCCTGAGAGGCACAGTTTGTGGAGAGAATGTCCGCCGTCGATGAATGTGAGCAGACCAACCAGGGGAGAGTAGCATACAAGTGCAGATAAATTCAAGATGATAGTGGTACCTACTCATCGAAGACTAAGCTTTGACGATGTGAGCACGACTAAGTAGTAAATATTTGGCTTACATGAGCGCGTCTAGTCGCGTGTCGCGTTGAACTCCGAGTCAAGCGCTCAAGGGTTGAACACTTCCGGCACCACGCCTACCTTCATCACTCCTACGTACCTGCAGCTTTCCTAGCATTCTTCAATAATCGGTGAGTAACTCATTCTTCTACAAGACGTCATCCGCGAGGGACACGCGTCAGTAAAAGCAATCGACAACAACTTCCGTCACGACAGACTTACATATCCACATCAACTGTACTTGCATCACAATGGCTTGTCCTCAACCCCTCCTTGCTGCAACGTCGAGTCTTAAGAATAATATGAAGGCGACGGACCGATATGCTCAAGATTTCTACTGGGATGAGAAGGTGAGTGCTTCATATTGTCGCGACTCGCATGAGCCATGAGCAGATACCTACCTCTCCCGCAGCTCTCAACGGTTATCTCGTTGCAACAAGTCAATGCCGCCCTCAGGGACGACCAGAGGCGCCGCGAGTGGGATGAATACCGAAGCATTCTGGAGAACGACCCCGAAACCACCATAGCACCACCCTGGCCCCCATTTCTACCTCCGCCTGACCGTGCTTCTTCCGCTCGAGTAGCGTCGCCCACATCTTGCTACCCTTCAGTTGACAATCCCGCGGCGTCACCAGCATTCAGCCAGAAAGCACTCACCGGCTTGACCTCACCGAAGGACGACCCCGAGCCACTATCATGGGTCGACCCCTTCAATCTCGTCGTGTGGGCCATGGAACATGCGGGATGGGGACCGTTGGATGGTGGGGAGTGCGACAGCGTTGACACGGTCTCGGTGGCGATGACCTCGGATGAATCGTCGGCGGAGACCCTGGTGTCGGACGAGGACAACTCCAGCCAATTCAACGACGGCGAGGAGGACGACGGGGAGCTGCTCGAGGAATGGGCGAACGCAGTGAAGAGGATGAAGGAGGCGCGGTGGGAGTAGACGGCCGCACCAAGGTGTGCGTATTGCGGGATCGACGCATACCAGGTGAGTATGCTCTTCACTTTGTCGGCGTCGTTGCGTTGATGAGGGAGGAATCCGTGGCAAGGTCGGCGCATGTGCGAAGCCTATCTGACCGTCGACGGCCGTCTCTTGTATTGGCTTTGACTGTTGTGTGTTGAGATGTGTACAATAGCGCTTTGTCCGATCCCTTTCAGTCATATGTACGAGTCAAGTCGTTGTCGGGTGGCGTCTTAGGTCGCTTTTACACAGTTGTATGGATTGATGTCTATCGGTAGAATTAGCTTTCGACGAGTTGGAGGACAGAACCAGCGGATAAGTAGAGAACAGATGTAGCATGTATAGTGACTGTCGCTGTGTCATAACAATCTCCCTCCGAGAGAAGTCGCTGGAGGAACCTTTGGTGTGCTATGTTCCGCTGCATGACTGCGTCGAATAGCCGTCCGCTGAGTAAATGCCGTTGTCAGCATGGAGTTCGCTTGCAAGGGGGCATTCACAGTCCGACGTAACGCTCCGTGTGACTGGGGGACAAACGCGGTCGGTCACCAAAAGCCGCCCTCAAGCGCGTAATTGAACATTGCTCACAACCACCACTCACCACCGGTCTCTGCACACGACCTCCCCTGTTTCCTCCGGTCCCCAGCTTTTGTGTACGTTGTTGCATTGGACGTCAACCTCCTGTGACCTCATCAGCGTTGTGCAGTATAATATCACAATGCAGACCTTCGATCCGACCATTCGGAGACCCTTCGATCCAACTATCAGAAGACCATTCAACCCAACCATACGCCGCCCGTCTCGGAGCCCGCGCGTCGAAACAGCGATTGATACCACTAACAGATGGTTCCTGGACAACTGGAATGACGAGGTCAGCATCATATCTTTTGGCCAGCGGCCAGAACCTGACCACTTTACAGCCCTTGCCACGCGTCGTCTGCTCCGGTACCCCCGTCCAGAACGATATCCTTCCACTGGTGAGCATGAACGTCGAGAGTTGGACCACATTCTAATCCGGCGCAGACCATGTCCACGGACTCGGATGTGACCCCCCACGCCCGGAGTCTTCTCAACATCTTAAATGGCCCGAGGACTAGCGCGGTCACGAGCATCAAGCCTACCTCGAAGAGCACCACCACCCTCGAGGTGCCAGTTATCCGCGGGACGGCAGCGGAACTGCTCGACAGGATCCTGCGGAACGAAAGTACGTTACCTCTAAGTCTGGTTGGCTGCTCGTGGTACTTAAGGACCGCTGTCAATTTAGTCCACTTTGGTCGTGTCGCTCCCGTTCCCGGTGGGTCGGGCACCTTGATGATTGAGAACGCGAGTGGCGACTCGGAGAATGGTTGCGACCCCGGATGTGAGCTCCTCTGACTATGAGGTGGAGCAATCTCAACGTGCCCTGTAGATTAGCGAACCTGGATAGTGTACTTGTTATTTGTATGTATCGTGAACTCTCACCGAAGTCTGTACTGCGCTTCACCTGGATGCTCCCCGCCGGCACCGTCACACGGCAATACAGCAATGCTGCGAGGTGAGTCTAAGCCCCTGCACATTCGGGTTAGCACATGATTAGCCTTCCCGTACGATATGACTGACATATCAACGGTGATGTAGGAGCAAGTGGGCATTGACATTGAACGTTATCCTGGCCCATGCATCGAATCACGCTCGTCGATCAACCGACCCATTACGCCCTTGGAGCGTATTAGCATGCAAGACTTGCGCCGAGCTAGTTGAACATGTATGAGAAACTTGAGAGGCAACATGTCGCATTGGACGAAGCTAGAAGTGAGGGTTAATGTATACTCGATCATGTCAAGCAGTGCCTACTGACTCACGGTACCAAGATTTGCGTCCGGCCTCTGCTGGCACCCGCAAAGGGAGCAAGAACCCTTGGCCATGAATGGACGGAGTTCGTGCCTGTCGGCGTCAGTAGTCGGTGCACCGAACATCCAGATCTGGTGGTAACACGAAACCGACAGTGGAGGTATGAGTAGTGCTCACAAAGGAATCCTGGCTTCAAGAAGTCTCGTTAGGATGCCTAGAACACACAGCACCATTGTCCACAAAATGGAAGACCATGCGGAGATATTGATCGCTCCACCAGTGCGTGTTGTGGATGCGACGATTGATCTGCCACGTTATAGGACGAGAACCCAGGCGACGGATGAGTTCGACACCCATAAAGCGTTACGAGGAGCGGTGACAAGACGCTTTGAGACATATCAATGTCATTCCAAACCCTTGTTTCACGTTCTCTCCTGGGGCTCGCAGCATGCCCTGTCACAACAGATACACAGCGTCGTGACGCATAGATACGTGGAACACACGTACGTCGCCATCTCCGAGTTGCATCTTCCAGATCTGCGCACTTCAGATGCCGTGCATTCTTGTGGATTGCAGTACTGCAGAAGAATGCGAGAATTGGTGGGCGTGCGCTACAGTATGAGTTCGAACTACGGCGTGAACAACTCGTATGATTATCGTTTGAACCACCACGACGCGTCATCCTACGAGTACATGAAGCCATGACTATGATATGCTCACAGTCTCCCACCGGCCCAATGGTCTAGTAGTATGATTCGCGCTTCGGGTGTTCTCCCGGTGCATTGCATCTAAAATGCGCGAGGTCCCGGGTTCAATTCCCGGTTGGGCCCTTTTTGGTCATTCTCCCATGCTTCCCATCAACGTTTGCGTCAATGCGAGGCAGTCGAAGCACATACATATTGATAGGCAACAACCTCAGCCTATAAGGACAGCCACCGGCGATACAGAGCTTGTGCGAGAGGTGCGGCGCCCGTAGTCTCATAAATCAGCGAGAGGTTGTATGCAGCTTCACGAGCGAGGCCGACGTCCTGAGGATGCAGGACGGTGAGACTAGAATGGGGGGAACAGATGCGGTAACCCACGTACCTCCGGATCGCGCTCTGTCCTCGCTTCCGCTGCGGTGAGCACCCGCTGGTAGTGACGAATTGCGAGCGAATGAAGGCCTACCCCGGGAGATTTGGTGAGGAAAGAGGATGCGAGAATCGTGGCCAGGTGCATACCTAGTTGCTGGAACACCCGGCCGAAGTTGTACTCAACTTCATCATGGCCATCTTGGGTCATGTCACGCAGTTCGCGGTAGCGTGTCAGGAACGCCATGGCCTGTCACAGGGGCACCCGTCAGCTTGAACGGACAAGTGGTTCCGTTACAAACGAACCTGGGTGATGAGGTGGTGCCGATTGTCAGACTGACGCTGCATCGCACGTCCGACCGAAGCAATAGCGAGCGACAGGCACACGAGTGGATCGTCAGGAGCATAATCGTACGCCTGGAGGAGGTAGACTGGAAGAACGTCAGGACACGGTAGCTTGACAAGAAAGAGGGGACGCTCACATAAGGCACTTTGGTAGCTCCTTGCAGCGAGCAAGATGTGCCCATACACCGCCACGTTGACTGCGTTGGGCTTGACGGGCAGCCTCGACCTTTCCAACTCTGAGACGGCGGGAGTCTCCACATCGTCGTCGTCATCGGGAGCGTCGTCGGCTCTCGACGAGCCTTGGAAGTTCCAGCGGCGCTGGGCAGTGTTGTACCGGAGCGACTCTGGATCTTTTACTGCAGCGTCAGCCAGGCGCGCCTCTCGCAGGAGATGCTTGGAGAGCGTCGAGACTAGGAATGCATCCGTGGCACGGAGACCGCTTGCCAGTGAGGAGACGAGAACACGGAGGGGCTCGTTGTTGAACTGGTGCCCGTTGACGAGTTTTCGGCATTGCTCCACCACCGTCTGGAACTGATCGACGTGGATCGCACAGGCTGCCTCGAAGTGAGGACGAGCGACACACCAACAAATAACGGGTACGTACTGATGAGGCCCAACCGGATTGAATCCTGAGAGGAGCGCGACTGGTATGCATTCGAGAAGAGCAGATGGCGCAGGATCTCGTTAGCAAGGTCGTACTGGCCGCGGCGGGTGAGGAGAAAACAATACTGCACTCGAGTACCAGGTTAGTAACCATTGTGGAGAGCGGGAGTGAACCAACTCAACGTGCATAAAGAGACGCATCCAATCATCGAACGAGATTCCTCGGAAGGTGTTCACGTTCTCTGACTTTGCGGCCTTTCGTGCAAGACTATCGCGTCCTAGGTAGAGGCAGCGTCAATGTGGATCCACCGACACGGCGACGCTGGAGAACTAACCAAGTTCGAGCTGGAGGCGTGATGCCATGCTATCCTCGCTCGCCTCAGCCGTCTGCTTTCTCGAGCTCCTCGGAAACATGCCTCGAAACCCACGATGCTGCTGGATCTTGAGCGACGACGACGAAGTTCCCTTGAAGCAAAGAACATACCCGACTGGTCAAGAACAGCGCCCTCGTCTCCCTGAACGACTCGACAAGTTTCTCCGCCTCAACCAGCCACTCGCGGACGGCCTCGTCCTCATTCGCGAGCATCCTTGACCACAGGTCCTGCACACGCCGCCAGCCTTGTGCTGCCTCGCGCTCCTTCTGTGTCTCGAGCTCGCGAAGTTGCGCGGCGGTGAGCTTGTTCGGATTCGACTTGGCTGAGGACCCCTTGCCCTTGCCGCGAACCTTGCCTTCTTCGAACAGCGACGCAGAACCAGGTTCGCCGGACTCTGTCGTGCCGTCACGCTGCGCGTTTCGCCGCTTGCGAGAGTCGATGACTACAGGTAGTTCCAATCGGGTTCAGATACGTTGGCAAATGAGAGAACGGGGTAAAGGACCTTGGAGGACAAGCTCGAGAGCTTTTCTGGGTTCGTTGAGGATCTCGAATATTTCGGCTAGCTTCATCTTAGCATCGTTGTTAGTTGGATCCGCGTGTATGACTGAAAGGTGTCAGGATGCATTCGAGGGATGATCGACGTGGCTCACCATGCTCGTACACCTCTGCCGCCTCCTTGAGGTCTCCGACCATGCGGCGGCAGGCAGCAGCTTGAAGCAAAACGTACATGCTACTCGTCTGTGAACGCACAAGTCGGTGAGGTATGGCGAACGTGTGGTGAAGAGAGAACCATACCCCTGCATCGCCACCCAGCATCTCGTAGATATGTCCTGCCTCGGAGTACATCTCCTTCTCGAAGTACGCGTCCGCGATCTCAGAGAAGAGCGGCGCGTATTCTGCAACGTCCTGAGCGAGGATGATCTTCGCATGCATCTACAGCAGGGGGAGTAAGCATCACGCCCGGCACAGTAGGTCACTAAACACACATACCTTTCCTTCTTCGATGTCACCGCCCTTGATCCTTGCGATGGCTAGACGATGCCGCGCGTTCACATCGAGCGGATATCTCCCCGGTTCCATCTCGCCGTCCCCGCCACGCTTCACACCACTGTCGGGCACATCCCATTCCCGGTCATCCTCACAAGCATCCCAGAACTTCTGCGCTGCACGCCCTTGTAGCCAGCGGCACCCTCTTCTGATCGTGTCCACCGCTCGGGCATAGTCACCCAAGGTATTGTAAAGGTCGGCAAGGATAAGAATGTGCATGAGCGTGTATCCGCCGCCTAAGATCTCCGTGTTCGATTGTGGATCTACACCACGACCTGAGGGGAAGACGTTGACGTAGTGTTCGAACGCCGCTTGAAAGAGCTGGGCGCATAGAGCGAGGTCGGAGAGCTCAATGAGAATCGGATGCAATTCGTCGAGAACGGCGAGGTTGTGCGGGAGTCGTTTGAGCATGGCCAGCATCGTTGAACGCGCCTACCATGTAGACAGCCGCGGTCGATTGAATGCATACGGATACGGAGTAGAAGGGATACGCACGACTCGTAGATCTCCCAACTCCTTCGCCAAAGATGCTCTATCCCAGAGCGCGCTCACGTTCGTTGGATCGAGGCTATATATCTTGCCATAGCAGTACAACGCCTGCTGATTGTACCCCAACTCCTTCGACTGCTTTGCCAAGTCGGCCCACTCGTCCGCGTCGTGGTTGAGATGCGCTGCCATGATACGGAGCTGGAGCGCCTTCCCATGCTCGTTCATGTCTTGGTGGCACTGTGCGAGGACGCTCCATGCTGCAGCTGCTCGCGGTTCGATGCGGATGACTTCCTGCATGATGCGAATAGTCTCCGGGATGTTCGCATCGACGTAGGCTTGATTGCCCTCGCCAATGAGTGCGCGTACTTGCTGGGAGAGTACAGGACCGCGTCTTCGACCACGCTATATAGGGAAGCACATCTTTGTGGGATGTTCGCGTGAATAGGACCATGAACGCACTCTCTTCTTCGTTTTCCCAACGCCCGACGCTGCCCTAAGATCGTCTCTAAACTCCGCCTCGCGCTCTTCGAGGTTCATGTCCCACATCCTGCTCAACATGCCTGCACTCGAGCCATCGCCGGCCTCCCGGATGTTCTGGATCAGCCTGTCAAAATCGCCCTCGATGGCGGCTTCTGCGCGTTCATCTTCAGCCTCCGTCTGTTGCTGCCGCGTGCTAGAGCCTTCTCCCAAATCCTGGACGAAGCCAGACAAATCACCTCCTAGGAGATTGCCATACGCTTCCTCCCCGGAGCTGCTTGACTCGGATGTTGACTCGTAGTCTTCAGACCCTTCAGCATCCTCGTCTAGAGTCAAAGATGCGTAAATCGCCCTAGGTCTAGTCAAAGTGCGAGCCTCAATCACCTGAGAAAGCCCAAGACTGGTCGACATCCATGAAAGCAGAGTTTTAGAGAAGACAGTGAAACAACAGTGGAGGTCAACGGTGTAGGCGCCTTCATCTCGCGTTACTTTGGACGCGTTACGTCACGCATCTCACGACGTGACCCACGCGCCGGACGGTGACGTCAGGCGCGGTCAGCGCCGTTCAGGCTGCTCTTTGCTCCGTCTCACGACTATCACGACACACCAGGGATCGTACAAGCCCAGGATATTGGCTCTGTCAGTGCTCACTGAAAGATGCCAGTACCGAAACATATCTTCAACCAAATCAAAGCAATAATCCCACCCCTCAATGGCACTCTGCACAAGGGTCAATCAGGACGCGTCGGTGTTCTAGGAGGAGCGTTAGAGTGAGTAATTCCTCGCGGGCTAGCAATAGACAGGTTCTGAGGAAGGTGTACCCAGCTACACTGGCGCTCCGTTCTTTGCGTCCATGTCGGCGTTGCGGATAGTGAGCTGTTCATACATGCTCTAGTAGTACCGAGCTGAGCTGATATGCCCCCATTTTGCCCGTAGGGTGCTGATCTATCGCATGTCATCTGCTCGCCAACAGCCGCTGGTGCGATCAAGTCGTACTCTCCAGACCTCATCGTTCATCCAATCCTCAGGGAAGATCAGTGAGTGCCGGTCTCTCTCCAGACTCGTATACGTTGTTCTCACTGTAGGGCAGGTCTCCCGAGTCCGTGAAGTCCACGCTATCCTCGCTCCTTTCGCGTCTACATGTCCTCATTGTTGGTCCGGGTCTTGGGCGCGAAGACTACATGATCAACTTCGCCAAGCTCGCGGTGAACATTGCCAAGGAGCAAGGCATGTATCTTGTGCTGGACGCCGACGCCCTTTGGATGATTGGTCAGGACCTCGCTCTCGTCAACGGATATCGTCGTGCAGTCCTCACACCGAATGTGATGGAGTTCAAGCGGTTGAGCGAGAACGTCGTGAGCTCTTGGCCGTGTATCTTCATATCTCAGAGCACTGATCGGCACCGTATCAGAAAATTGATCCGAG